CCCCGCACCCTTGCTCAACCTGTCGGAGGAATTGAATATTTTTCCGTTTCGATCAACCCCAGACGAGCAGTAACCTAACAAGCGGGCTACGGACCGCACGTGATATTTCCTACCTTCCTTGACCTATCCTCACTCCTTACTTACACACACAGTTACATGCACAACACTACCACACATGTCGGAAGACCAGTGAGGAGCTTAGAGATAGGGCGGATAGGGCTGTGCCACGCTGGTGGGAGATATCTGGTTGGGGAAAACTCCGCTAGCTGATGGTACGTCGATGTCGAATCACGCCATCCATCGGGGAACATCAACTCTCGAGCAAAATCATGAACTATGCGTGCGGGAGTAATTACCTTAGACATTGAGCGACCATAATCATCATTAAATCAATCAATTGATTGATTCCCTTTGATTACCAGTCGCAACTACTAAGGCCATTACACACACAAGGGCAATGCCGGGAGGTTACGCCGTTCCTTTTCGCCGGAATGGGAGATCTAGCGTCGACATGACTGACCAACACGTCGGCTCGCGCAGTTCTCCCCTCCGGTTATCTGTGCACGCTCGACACTGCGCCAACCGGAACAAGGTCTTATCTCCAAGCGTGTGTGGTATGGATAGACAGGTGTGTGTGTATGTACATGTAAGTGTGTTTCAGATAGGGAGGATACGACAGGGACGAGGAAGGGATGACAGTGCGCAGTCTGTGGCTCGTTTGTTAGGGCGATACTTCCTTTTTCTGATGAGAGCAGGCGACTGGTATATTTATCCTCCAACCAGGGGCTGAAGTGCACCTGTCGGGAGTCGAACCCTAGGACCTCTCGAGCAGGGCTACAGGAAGAACGCTTTTTGCACTCAGCCACCTTAGACAGTCCCCCTATTGTTATTTGAAGCAAATTGCTTCACGTGCCCACCATTGGCCGCGCCCTCGCCTCACTGCATTGCCCCACCTGCAAGGCGCTCAAGCGTATCGAGCTTAAGGAAAGAATGGAATTGGGGCTTCTGTGCCCCGTACACATTTCCTAAACAAACAGCTCAGTTGTGGAATTTGTACTCGTCAGTTTCATAGCCTAGTTCTATAAGTTAAAACTTAAAGAAACTACTAAACAATAATTGTTGAAATGTTTAGTACTACTAAAACAACAATAAAAATTGCTGTCGTCCGAGTCGTTATCATTATATTACCAGTTTTTTTCTGGTTTAGCTTACACTCTTGAAGGCTGTTGTAATCAAATAAAACATTTTCGCCCGTGATAAAAATGTTCGATTGATTAAAATAAAAAAGAGCTGTATGCGGTTATACAGGTTCCAAATAATGCGTTTGCGGAATATCTCGAAACTTACTATGGAGAAATTATTTATTTTGAACATAACGGTCATAAACGACCACTTCTATAATCATACATACATTCGAATAAGTCTTATTCAAGAAGTCTTGTAGCTAAACATCATGATCAGTAACGTCGCTTATAAACTTCTTAAACAGTAATGGACCAAGGTGAGCCCTTTTGGTACACCTGGTATTACTTCAGTCTCGTCAGAGATATAGTTTTTGTATTTTATATTTTGTACACGATTCTTTAAGTAACTGTCAAACCATTGAGGCGAGTTACCAACGACATCAAATGATTTCAATGTAGAAAGTAAAATTATGTGATTAATGGATTCAAATACCTTTTTAAAATCAGTATACACGCTAAGAATTTGATGTTTATTAACTAAGATTTTTAAAATATACTAAGAATAACGAGCCAAATCAGGTTCAATATTTCTTTCTTCGATAAATCCAAATTTCCTAATTGATACAAAATACTATATCAACCTTATCAAGTGGTCAGTAATTGATTCACAAATATTGGGTATGAGATTCAGGTTTGTAATTGGTCTACAATTCGAGATTATACTTTTTACTCGTGATTTAAAAATTACTATAATATATGTTCCAAATATTTGGTAAATATTCTTCACGAAAGAGTTTATTAAATAATATCTTAAAATAAAAAGAAAAGACATAGCTACAGTTCATAAGTAAAATTGTTGGACCTGCATTTTTATGAATATCAAGATTATACATTCGAATAAAAAATCAGATAACGGGATATCAATTGTTAATGGCATACTTTGATCATTCAACTGAATTACTATTCTAACTGAAGATTATTAGAAAGTTGTAAAGTAAATTGCGAACACATTTTCAATTGAACGACCATCATAACATGTATTATGGTTATATAATATCATTAAATACACACGCATTTGATGTTTTATATTGTTTATCTCCATCAAATCACTTAACTTTTTTTCTCAGTTTCTCCGTTGTAGGAAAATTTTAAGACGTGGAGTAATAACCATCAAGTTATGAACTTTGGAAAAATATGTGCCAAAAAAATCAAAAGTGGTCAAATGGGTTATGTAAAAACTATGTTTGATTCATAAAATTGTGTTCGAGACGTTTTTTTACCATTTCGGTATTTTAATTTTTCTATTCTATCTTAAACCTTAAACATATGTTCTTCGCCGTGACAAGCAGTTTAAGAATCTTAAGCCGTTTTAAAGTAAAATAACTGTGATATTGACGTCAAAAAGGCGAATCTATTCACTCATTGAAATTCTCTTGTTAATTTTGAGAACTTTGATAAATTGTCAGACCGAATAACAATTCTGACAATAAAACAGAACCAAGACTTCTTACAGTTTGTTTTTCAGTTTCATGCTCTTCCGCTTTCGGGGTTCTGTAGAGTGCAAACTGTCAAATGCTCTACAGATTTCCGATCACCATTTTTCGAGTGTCAATTTCAGGTACCAGCTCGCATGGTACTTCGCGGGGGCGTTCCGAGTTGCTCGCGAGTGACGGGTCTCCCCGGAG